TTATTTTTTGAATATTTTGGATATTTTGAATATTTTGAATTTTTTGAATTTCAAAAAAATCAAAATATTCAAAAAATTTAGCCAATACAAAATATTTTGAATATTTTGAATTTCAAAATATTCAAAATATTCAAAATTTTAGCCAATACAAAAATATTTTGAATATTTTGAATTTTTTGAATTTCAAAAATTTAAAAATATTCAAAAAATCTAGCCAATACAAAAATATTTTGAATATTTTGAATTTGTTGAATTTCAAAAAATTCAAAATATTCAAAAAATTTAGCCAATACAAAAATATTTTGAATTTCAAAATATTCAAAATATTCAAAATATTTCAAAATATTCAAAATATTCAAAATACTTCTCCCAAAAGTCTCTCTGAACCTCTTTTTTGGTGATTTCATTATTTTTTAAATATTTTGAATATTTTGAATTTTTTGAATTTCAAAATATTCAAAATATTCAAAAAATTTAGCCAATACAAAAATATTTTGAATATTTTGAATTTTTTGAATTTCAAAATATTCAAAATATTCAAAAAATTTAGCCAATACAAACATATTTTGAATATTTTGAATTTTTTGAATTTCAAACATTTCAAAATATTGAAAAAATTTAGCCAATACAAAAATATTTTGAATATTTTGATTTTTTTGAATTTCAAAATATTCAAAATATTCAAAATATTCAAAATATAATGAACTTCTCCCAAAAGTCTCTCTGAACCTCTTTTTTGGTGATTTCATTATTTTTTGAATATTTTGAATATTTTGAAGTTTTTGAATTTCAAAAAATTCAAAATATTCAAAAAATTTAGCCAATACAAAAGTATTTTGAATATTTTGAATTTTTTGAATTTCAAAAAATTCAAAATATTCAACATATTCAAAATATAATGAACTTCTCCCAAAAGTCTCTCTGAACCTCTTTTTTGGTGATTTCATTATTTTTTGAATATTTTGAATTTTTTGAATTTCAAACATTTCAAAATATTGAAAAAATTTAGCCAATACAAAAATATTTTGAATATTTTGAATTTTTTGAATTTCAAAATATTCAAAATATTCAAAATATTCAAAATATAATGAACTTCTCCCAAGAGTCTCTCTGAACCTCTTTTTTGGTGATTTCATTATTTTTTGGATATTTTGAATATTTTGAATTTTTTGAATTTCAAAAAAATCAAAATATTCAAAAAATTTAGCCAATACAAAATATTTTGAATATTTTGAATTTCAAAATATTCAAAATATTCAAAATTTTAGCCAATACAAAAATATTTTGAATATTTTGAATTTTTTGAATTTCAAAAATTTAAAAATATTCAAAAAAATTAGCCAATACAAAAATATTTTGAATATTATGAATTTTTTGAATTTCAAAATATTCAAAATATTCAAAAAATTTAGCCAATACAAAAATATTTTCAATATTTTGAATTTTTTGAATTTCAAAAATTTAAAAATATTCAAAATTTTAGCCAATACAAAAATATTTTGAATATTTTGAATTTGTTGAATTTCAAAATTTTCAAAATATTCAAAATATAATGAACTTCTCCCAAAAGTCTCTCTGAACCTCTTTTTTGGTGATTTCATTATTTTTTTAAATATTTTGAATATTTGGATTTTTTTGAATTTCAAAAAATTCAAAATTCAAAAAATTAGCCAATACAAAAATATTTTGAATATTTTGATTTTTTTGAATTTCAAAATATTCAAAATATGCAAAAAAATTAGCCAATACAAAAATATTTTGAATATTTTGTTTTTTTTTGAATTTCAAAATATTCAAAATATTCAAAAAATTTAGCCAATACAAAAATATTTTGAATATTTTGAATTTTTTGAATTTCAAACATTTCAAAATATTGAAAAAAATTAGCCAATACAAAAATATTTTGAATATTTTGAATTTTTTGAATTTCAAAATATTCAAAATATTCAAAATATTCAAAATATTCAAAATATAATGAACTTCTCCCAAAAGTCTCTCTGAACCTCTTTTTTGGTGATTTCATTATTTTTTGAATATTTTGAATATTTTGAAGTTTTTGAATTTCAAAAAAATCAAAATATTCAAAACATTTAGCCAATACAAAAATATTTTGAATATTTTGAATTTTTTGAATTTCAAAATATTCAAAATATTCAAAAAATTTAGCCAATACAAAAATATTTTGAATATTTTGAATTTGTTGAATTTCAAAAATTTCAAAATATTCAAAACATTTAGCCAATACAAAAATATTTTGAATATTTTGATTTTTTTGAATTTCAAAATATTCAAAATATTCAAAATATTCAAAATATAATGAACTTCTCCCAAAAGTCTCTCTGAACCTCTTTTTGGCGTCTGGGAGATTGCTTTCAATTTGAAATGGAATCAAATAGTCAACGGTCAAATAGTACATGAAGGTCCATCATACATATATATATATTTAAATATATATAAATAATATATATATATATATATCAGTGGCATCTGTTTGATTGAACATTATTTTTTACATAGTGCGCCTTTGTTTAGTTTTTCAAACCATAGAAGTGCAAAATCCAAAACATGACTGCGTGCAGTTGCCCTGCTGCAAACATGACACCTGAACGCAATGAGACAACACCTGAATGCTAGGAGAATGATTTTTTCTTGTAAAATCAAGATATAGGGGTCCTAAAAAAGATAGAAAAGGCAACCTCCACTCTTTCAATGGTGATTTAGTTCTTCTACCCAGTTGTGGACCCCATAAACCCAAATCACAATAGATCAAAAACCTCAAATATCTACAATGCCCTGGTTTTGAGAGATGAACATGATTCTACATTCTTTTTACAAACTATTTTGATGCTCACCAAAATACTAAGACTTTGATCAATGCCCAAATCACATAGGGGTCGAGAAGTCGTAACCAATCTTTGGTGCCGCCACCTGACAGGAAGCTCGCAGCTATGGCGCCACAACACCTCTGCGACTTGATGCACCAGAGTCCATGGAATTCCTGCGCAGCGTTGCATCTCTATGACATCATCCTATAGCAAATTTCTGATGGCTTTCTGCCTTAGATACATTTTCCACTGTTGGATTAGTGTTTGTCACCAAACTCAAATAGGAAAATGTTCAGAAAACCCAGTACCGCACCATTTCCGAGGCAATCTGATTTGGGCCTTCGCCACCGTATCTTGGAGTACACGGGAACCAGGCGATCGCAGCAATCTGATTCTGAGTCTCTCGAAGGAAGTGCGGCAGAGGAGCCGCAGGTCTAAAGGACGACGTCAAAAGATCAAAATGTCATGATAGGATTAGCTGTTATATGTTGTTATGAAATATCAGAATCATCACAACTATCACAACTATCATAGGATTAGAACATCACCATTGAAGCATCACCACTGGCATCTCCTGCTGGGACTTCAGGGGCCGTTGGCCCAGGAGCTGCGAACTCGAGAACTTGGGCCTGGCCGCTGCCTCCTGGGGCTTTGCCATGGCCGTTGGAGGCGGTCCGCTGGGCTGTGGACCCTGAACACGTCGACAGACGGTGCTACGGCGGTCATCAACAGCACCGTCGTCCAGAATCCACAGCGTGTGCAAGCAATTGCAAGCGCAAGGAATGACGTCTTCCCAGTCTGCTGCAAGAGGTCATCTTGCAGCTCGTGATTCTGACCTGTGCTAGCGGTGGAGCCTTGCCCCTGAGACAGCCAAGGACAAACATCTCTTGCCCTGAGGCTGGAGCCTTGCCCCTAGCTACAGGATGCCAAGGGATAGCCTTAGGACAAACACCTGAGCTCTCGCGGCTGGGAAAAACAGGATGCGTGTGTTTTCTGTTTTCAGTGATTTTTTGCTTTTGAAGAGGAGTTTGGATAAAGAAGAGCCGTTGGAAAACCACAGCTGACCGTGGCCATCAACTTGGCTGATGGAAACATATGGAAACCGTTTTGTGTTGCATGGTGCAAGCAATGGTAAGCGCAAGGAATGTCTTCTTCAGACTCAGTACAAAGAACGCAAACCATGCCAAACTATCGCAGACATCACAAAACATCACTAGACATCACAGGAGGTTGTGGGAATGACAGGGCCCACCTGCACTGGTTAATAGCAACCTGAAAAAACTGAGAGTATTGAAAGTATTTGTTGGTATTTGAAAGTATATCATAGTGTGGCCGCGCCTCATGCTGAATCTTGTGGAACTCAGTTCCTGGAATTTTTTATTCCAACAATATTACACTATGCAATGATTGCAATGTTCACATCCAAATTTGTGGCTATTCACCGGGTGCGGTGTCTCTACTTGTGGCAGAAGAACTGAGGGGCTGAAGGTATTTGGAGATTTCAGTCTGTGGATAACTTGCATCTCTCATTTCCGGCTTTCCGGTTGGGAGATTACGCATATTCATCCTTAGCACTGTATATTTAGTATATGCCATGTTCAAAGCATTTCAACTTTTCAAACAAAAATGGATGTTCACCATCCCATTCTCATAGAGGTAGTTTGCACCCATGAATGGGATACGTGGGGTTACCTGCTCCTTGAAGTTCTTTTACATTATATATATATGCTGTTCATTGTACATTATCTACATTGTTCATTTTAAATTACAGATAGTATTTAGTATGTCTCCGTACACATCAAATTCTATATCTTATATATCTTAGATATTTAGTCAGGGACCGCACACCTTGAACCCGCAATGCGATGCTGCCACGCGCCCAAGCCACGGTGTCCGGCCCGAGCCATGACCGTGAGGACCGAGAACTCCGCGGCAGCGCCAGATGAGTTTTTTGATATTTTTTGATGCTATATTCAAGGATATTCAAGGTATTTCAAGGTATTTCAAGGTATTTCAAGGTCGGAAAGTGGAAACACCGCGAGTCTGCCGTTTTGAGATGGTTTCAAGTCTTCACCATGAGAAAATCTGAACCATTTTGGCCCAAGTCTAGAAGGTCCATAAGTTTGTAGTCGAACCGATCTCATTCGCAATATGCCGCTGACAAAAATTTGCGCCATGTTCCTTTGGTGCCTTTTTGGTGCCGATGCGCTGTCCGATGGTACGGGCTGTGGGCATTGCATGGAGGAGAACGTGCTGATGCAGATGGTGAACCTCCAGCCGAACGTGGAGTCGTCCCAATACCATCCCAGCCGGGCGCGGAGATTCCGCCGCTTCCGCCGCTTCCGCCGCTTCGGCCGCTACGGCGCGAACACTGAGAGCACAACAGCCACCACAAGCACCACCACAAGCACCACCACAAGCACCACCACAAGCACCACCACCAGGGTGGTGTGCACTGGTGGCACTTGGGGGGGTTCTGAAGTGGCTCTCACCAAAATCATTGATACCAGCCCGCCCCAAAATACGTTCACATTCAATGTAAATGTGACATCCCCAGAATGTGAATGCGTGGGCAGTCCTGTATTCGGTTCCATACCCGGCTTCCTTGGTGTTAGTGTGATCGGTGTTGAGGATGCGAAAGGTGTGTTTTTCATCAGCATCACAAGTCCCAATGACACGGATGTGAAAGTAGCACCAATTCGCACTGGGACGACTCTCCAGGCCGAGACCGTGGCATTCAACGGCTTCCCAGCAAATGGCAGCTGGGTCATCAAATTGCTGGATGCCAGCGGCAACCTTTCAACACAAACGGCCACCATATTTGAAATCCAGTTTGGGCTTATCAGCTGCCACCAGGCCTTGCCGACACCTGATTGTGTTGGCAATTTTTTTGGTGGGCGGACGTGGGTTGCCCAAAATCTCGCACTAGTCGGGACGACTCTTTCTCCAACCCCCACCCTCCTCCAGTTTAATGTGGAGGCGAGCAGTGCCTGCTGCGTCCGTCGTGGTATTGTGCAGCTTTTACTTGACTTCAACGCCGTTTCAAGTCCAAGTGGAAGAACCCTGACCGCTGCTGGTCTGAGCCCAGATGCCATTCAATTCAGTTTGACAGGCCAATTGATGGATGTGAACCCTGTCACTTCTGTGGCTGTTGGGGCAATTGTGGACGCAGTTGCAGGGGCTCGGGCCGCTGGGCTGTGGACCCTAAACACGTCCACAGATGGTGCTACGGCGGTCATCAACAACACCGGCCAGAATCCGCAGCTTGCGCTAGCAGTGGGGCCTTGCTAGGGACAGCCAAGGACAAACGTCTCTTGCCCTGACAGCTGGAGCCTTCCTAGCTGAAGGATAGCCTTAGGACAAACACCTGAGCACTCGCAGCTGGGAAAAACAGGATTGTGTGTTTTCTGTTTTCAGTGATTCTTTGCTTTTGAAGAGGAGTTTGGATAAAGAAGAGCCGTTGGAAAGCAACAGCTGCAATTCCATCACCATGGCCATCAGAATTCATGAGATAGGATATATTAATGTATATATATATATATTTATACAATATTTATACATATTTGATATACAGTATATATATATATATATCTTTATACAATATTTATACATATTTGATACACAGTATATATATATATATCTTTATACAATATTTATACATATTTGATATACAGTATATATATATATATACGTAAATGTATCAGAAACATCATAGGAATTGAGACACTCCCCCTGGGGAACCTGCAGAACGCCCACTCCGTCAGGAGCTGCGAACTCGAGACCCATGAGCCTTTGCCACGGCTGATGGATGAAAAAGCATTCACGGTGCAGCGTTGCAACGCGTTGCAACGGGCACAGCATCGATATCGTCATGGAGTGCTAAAAGCAGGGTGAAGTGTTTTGGTTTCCACTGACATGTTAATTTTGAAGAAAGAAAAATGTATGTGATCCATCCTGATCCCATTTTCTTTTCGAAAAAAACATCTCGTGGTTAGGGTGGAAGCACTAAACAACTTCGCCGAGGGAAACAGTTTTGTGTTGTGTGGTGCAAGCAATTGCAAGCGCAAGGAATGACTCCTTCAGAGTCTACTGCAAGAGGTCATCTTGCAGCTCGTGATTCTGACTTGTGCCGTCTATTAGAACTATGGCTCTCAGTTCAGTACAAACAACGCAAACCATGCCAAACTATCACAGACATCACAAGACATCACAAGACATCACAGCAGGTTGCGGGAATGACAGGGCCCAGCTGCACTAGTTACTACTAGTTACTAGTTGATACCAATATGAGCAAATTGAGAGATCAACAAAAACTCAGATTTTCGAAATTGAAACGTATTGAAAGTATTTGAAAGCATTAGACACTATTTGAAAGTATTTAAACGTATCTCAGACAGTGTGGCCACGCCTCACTCCCCAGAATTTTGCCGAACTCAGTTCCTGGGACTGCAGGGTTTTTCTCGTGTGTTTGAGGACTGCAAATATCAAGATCTACCTTAATTTTCATTACAACATGCAATGATTGCAATGTTCACATCCAAATTTGTGGAAATTCACTGGGTGCAGTTTTTTTTCTCTGTGGCAGAGCCGAAGGCATTTGGAGATCCCAATGTGAATCTGTTTGTCGGGTACTGCTTTACTGCTTCACTTCAATGTCAGCAGTCAGTGATCAAAACTGGTCGCGGTGTGTGGTCAACAGCGTTGGATTATTTCTGGAGAATCTGGGGATGGTCATCGCGAACGAAACTTGGACACTAAACATGCCATGGTCAAAGCATGACTAACTTTCACATAAAAATGGATGATCACCATCGCATTTTCATAGTGCTTATTTCATGTTATTTATATACCCATTAGTCGGGGAATCCCATTTATGATGATGGGATGACCATTGTGACCATACCCCATAGTTACCCAAGGTACCCATGTAACTTTGACCATGGCATATGACATGTGAAGCCCCATACCCAACCCCGCAGGCGCACGCGGAGCCAGTGCTTCAGCGGCTTCTACCTCTCCATTTAACAAGTTTTTTTTTGATCCATCTCCATTGCCAAGCCAGGACCCAAAAAGCCATCGGGACTTCAGCGATTGGGTCATGATCCATGTCATTGTGGTGAAACTTTTCGTTTGTGGTTGTCAATTTCCCTTGGGAGTTTGTGCACTCCCGCTTTTAACGTCAATCTTCACATTGTGCAGGTCAAGCCTGCTATATTTTGCTTGGTAATCGCCATCTCAGGTCCTCGGCTCCGTCGCGTGAACCGATGGCACGGGCAGTGCGTGGCCAGACGAAGGTGATAATGTGGGATTCACCCTGGCTGCCACAAGCACCATTTGGGGATGGTTGGAATACCACCCATTTGATTTACATTTTTTGTTTACCACATTATTGCAAAATGATGTGAAATCATGTTGAATCACCACGAACCTGAGTCCGGACCGGCAGAACTATGGAGAGATGATCTGCAGGTCTGGAAACGCCTCAATCTGACTCCAGGGAGCTATGGAGTTGATGGCTCCGGTATTTGCCACATTTTCCAGGGTTCAAATTTACCACTTTAAGTGTGGATGTCGAAAAAGTAAAGCATTTGTTCAAGAGGTTCGAGAGTCTGTTTGAGAACTTGTCCTGCCACAGCTTTAGCACCCAGTCGGTTCTGTTCGAGGGCCACATTTGATCGACATTTAATCGAACCTGGGTGAGCACAGCACATTTTAGTAGTGATGAATGGGGTATCTTGATAGAGAACTTGACCGAAAAACCCAAAAAAGTTAAAACATGCTGCAACAGGACCCCTGAAACTTGAGACACATCCAATATCATCCAATGGTTCCTGATTTGCACTTTCATATATCACCCATGTTTTGAAATAGTCCATAATCATCTAGAAAAAAAATAACATACCACACAATTTATAACAAACAAACTCTTTGAACTAGTTCATAATCACAACCCCGGACTTTTCTTTTAAATGGCCAGATGAATTGGGGGAGTGCCCATCTGCAGGTGGCTCTGCGAGCGAATAAGAAGGCCAGGTTGCTGCGCGCGAATGGATCAATCAAATAGCATCAAATAGCAATGATGACAAGATGTGTTTATTCAAAATCATATTAAATATTATATCATATTATTATATTATATACTATAATATACTATTGTATATATATATATATGCTCATATATATGCATATATTCTTATTTTCGCTTGCTCCCTTGAAATTTGTAGGGGTTATCTATGTTGTCAAAGGTTGTTGACTGTGTAGTACTATTATACTATTAGTGGAACTGGATTATCAGTTCTCTGCCAGTCGTAAGGGCACACATCCCACGATCCATCTACCAACTTTTCGGATTGTCCCAGTAAGAATCTGATAGTCCCACTTGGACATTTCAGCCCCTTTCTGTTGACGAAATCAGCTACTTTCTGTGATTTGCAGCATCACTTTATTTGTGAAAGTAAAAACCCATCCGGCCGTCATAAAACTATATCATCCTATCATCCTATATCTTGGAATTTTGTGCCAACGGTCCTCCCACTCTCAATGGTTCTCCCTCGCAGGAGGCGCGTGATCGTAGCCTGGAGAAATTCGGCTCGCCCTCTTTGCCCCTCGGCTCCTGGAGCGATTGACGCTGCATTTCTACATGGCTATGAGCTTCGAACACAGGACCCGATGGTGAAATTCGGTCGTTTCCCACTTGGGGCATACCCAAAATGGCAATTTTCATGGGGAAAATGATGAAAATGATGATCAACCAATTGAATGCTTGGGGTAGCCTCTTTTCAGACAAACTCAAGTGATGCCGTAGTCTACTGTAGGAGAAGAATTCAGATTTCCATTCTACTCACCTATCCGATCCTATCTTCTCCCCTATTCTCGTCTTGTGAGAGACTGCCATGCTACCCTCTGGTCACCTCTGGTCACCTCTGGTCACCTGTGGTCCTTGGGCTTTGAGCGGTGAAGGACCCAGAAAGTCGAGGACTAATGAGTTGTGCATTAGTCAACCAAGAGTTGATCAAACCCAGCCGTTAAACATAAAAGAAACCATCAGTTATCATCAGTTGTCATCACATTGCGTTCACTTCAATCACAAATCACGAACCATGTTCACATGTTCATTATAGTTTTTCGTTAATCAACCGTCAATGACAAGAACCATCAATATCATATGTAATGCAATATCCATTAATATCCAATCATTATCAACCAGCAGTTATAGCTGATAATTCGACAGTATGCAGCCATCATCAACCATCAGTAACCATGAATATCAATGTGCATGGATATATTCATCATGTTAACCCCATTATCATCATATATGAGTCAGGAGTAATCAATCAGATATTAGGCATTTTTTTGAGTAATCATCATGTTTATCACCGCATTAGCCATCAAATAACCATCAAATATCCATCATAGCCAGGTGCAGTGCCCTCGTTTCGTCAGGTGATCGATGCCTGTTGGATGAGATGAGTACTGACCTCTCGGATTTTGGAACGCAAGACTTGGCCAACGTGGCTTGGGTGCCTGGGCTTGATCAAAACGGGGATCGGCCAGCAGTGTCTGGCTGGTTTTTGTAGTTTTGTTTCAGCAGTGTCAGAAACTATGACGAAAAAATGGTCAGGGTGGGGATCCGAAGTAAAGTAATTTATGGTTTGTTTCTTTATTGGCTAGCTCTTATAGAACAAATGAGAGCATGACATTTTCAACAGTTTTCAATTCGACCCCCTTAATTTTCGCACAAGACCAGATCTGTGGGGATACTGCCAGCTCTCAGAATCGACTTTGGATCAGACTTGTGGTTTCATGTGGTTTCATGGTTTTCATGGTTCCAAAACCCCTTTTTTGACGTGTCTCATGACAAGTCGCTTAAAGAGCTTTGATTTGAGGGTCCTTAGACCAAGGTTTGCTGAGCTCTCAGGCAGCTGTGCAGTTGGTCACCAGCGAACCCTTGGTGGTGGCCCTTGCAGTGGAAGCTGAAAGGTCTGCCCGTGTGTTGCCATGGGGTCAGATTGTTACAGTACTACAGCGATCCATACTACCCATGTTTTTTTTGGGGTTAGATAGGGAATTATCAGTAGGAATAGCCTCTTGCAACCATTACCGGGCTCCGAGTAATCCCTATAATCCCAGACGATGTGATTGTTGTAGGGCCTCTATAGGCACTGTATCCCAGGAACTGGGAGCCCCTAAAAGCCGGCCATGAAGCTTTGGTTCCTGGCCAGGTGTCGATTTGGAGCTTAAAAGAATCTCAGTGTAGCCATTCCTGCAAAGCTAGGCGTTTGACCTCTATATAATGGGAATTGATCATGTCAGTTTTTCTTGTTGGAATTAAGCTTGCAAAGGTTGATGATGATCAGTTTTGTCCCCTGCAAAAGTACGATTTCGAGTCCGATGACCTTGGTTTCTAGGCTGAATGATTCTAGTGGATTGACTGACTTGACATGTTCTCCAAAGCTTTTGCCTGAAAATTAATGAAGATTGGCCAGCCCCGGCTGGAATTTTTATGGATCCAAGAAATCTTAACTTTTAAGTAATTTTCCTAGCATTCAGGTGTTGTCTCATTACATTCAGGTATTACGTCTGCGGTTTGACTCAGACGCAAGGCAACTGCACGCACTTTTTTCTTTGCTTTTTGCAACACAGTCATGCTCTGGATTTTGCATTCTACGGGTTGCAATGCTGAACTAAGGTGCACCATGTACAATGTAATCTTCAATCAAATGAATGTTTGTCGGTATATTTATAGGTTATATTGCATTGGTACTGTGTGTCTGTGCAATGATTCGAATAATTCTGCTGTATGATATTGTGCTGCAATGATGTTGGACTGTTTGCCATTGGCACTGATATGCTCATACCGCAACACTTGCAAACAGTGACCCGTATCACGCAACATAATCCCATAGAAAGATCGACTAACATTGCTTTCATGGCCAAAAGATATCAAATTCAAGCTTGGCTGAAAAACCGTTATTGGCAGTGCATGACTTCAAAGCATGTTCATGCAGGGCGTCCCGGCACACGTGATGATAAAACGCAACCCAATCTTTCACCATCTTTGGCGCAGTGAACAATACAGCGCATTTGCCTTTTTCATTAGTCAATCAAAATCAGACTTTCATTACCAGCACATAATTCGGGTTCCTGCAGGTTTGCTTGCATTGAAATCATGTTCCTGCTGCTGTTGTCCCCTGCCATTCAAATTGCGGCTATTTCTTGAGCCGATTTGCAAAGTGTTTTACTTTGAAGGATGCCCTGCATGAACATGCTTTGAAGTCATGCACTGCCCATACCAGTTTTTCAGCCAAGCTTGAATTTGATATTTTTTTATTGGTGATTAAAACCATGTCAGTCAATCTTTCTATCGGTTTATGTTGCGTTCATTGTTTGCAAGTGTTGCGGTTTGAGCGTGGCAATGCCAATAGCAAACAATCCAACACCATCATTGCATCGCAATTATCTCAATCATTACACAGACACACAGCACCAACCGAAAATAATATATATATATATAATTATATATATATAATATGAGGGGCATCTGTTTGATTGAACATTATTTCTTACATAGTGCACCTTTGTTTAGTTTTTCAAACCATAGAAGTGCAAGATCCAAAACATGACTGCGTGCAGTTGCCCTGCTGCAAACATGACACCTGAACGCAATGAGACAACACCTGAATGCTAGGAGAATGTTTTTTTTGTAAAATCAAGATATAGGGGTCCTAAAAAAGATTAAGAAAAGGCAACCTCCACTCTTTCAATGGTAATTTAGTTCTTCTACCCAGTTGGGGACCCCATAAACCCAAATCACAATAGATCACAGACCTCAAATATCTACAAATGCCCTGCTTTGGGGAGATGAACATGATTCTACAATTTTTTTTACAACTATTTTGATGCTCACCAAAATACTAAGACTTTGACCTATGCCCAAATCACATAGGGTCGAGAAGTCGTAACCAATCTTTGGTGCCGCCACCTGACAGGAAGCTCGCAGCTATGGCGCCACAACACCTCTGCGACTTGATGCACCAGAGTCCATGGAATTCCTGCGCAGACAGCAATGCATCTCTATGACATCATCCTATACCAATTTTCTGATGGCTTTCTGACTTTACATTTTCCACTGTTGGAGTGTCTGTCACCAAACTCAAATAGAAAATGTTCAGAAAACCCAGCATCGCACCACTTCCGAGGCAATCTGATTTGGGCCTTCGCCACCATATCTTGGAGTACACGGGAGCCAGGCGATCGCAGCAATCTGATTCTGAGTCTCTCGAAGGAAGTGCGGCAGAGGAGCCGCAGATCTAAAGGACGACGTCACAAGATCAAAATGTCATGATAGGATTAACTGCTATATGTTGTTATGAAATTTCATAATCATCACAACTATCACAGCTATCATAGGATTAGAACATCACCATTGAAACATCACCACTGGCATCTCCTGGGACTTCAGGGGCCGTTGACTCAGGAGCTGCGAAAGAACTTGGGCCTGGCCGCTGCCTCCTGGGGCTTTGCCACGGCCGTTGGGCCGATCGGCGCTGCCATCCTGATCCATTCTGATCCCATCTTTTCGAAGCATCTTGTGGTGGAAGCAACAACTTGGCTGATGGAAACCGTTTTGTCCTGGAAAACTTGGCAATGGTAAACGGAAGGAATGACTTCTTCAGAGTCTGCAGCAAGAATCTTGCGCATCGTAATTCTGACGTGTGCCTTCTATGGCTCTCAGTTCAGTACAACGCAAACCATGCCAAAGTATCACAGACATCACAAGACATCACAAGACATCACAGCAGGTTGCGGGAATGACAGGGCCCACCTGCACTGGTTCATGGCAATCTGAGCAAACTGAGAGATGACCAACAACTCAGATTTTCGAAATTGAAATGTATTGAAAGTATTGAAAGTATTTGTCAGTGTTTGAAAGTATATCATAGTGTGGCCGCGCCTCATGCTGAATCTTGTGGAACTCAGTTCCTGGAATTTTTATTCCAACAATATTACAATATGCAATGATTGCAATGTTCACATCCAAAATTGTGGCTATTCACCGGGTGCGGTGTGTTCTCTACTTGTGGCAGAAGAACTGAGGGGCTGAAGGTATTTGGAGATTTCAGTCTGTGGAAAACTTGCATCTCCCATTTCCGGTTGGGAGATTACGCATATTCAATCATATTCATCCTTAGCACTGTATATTTAGTATATGCCATGTTCAAAGCATGTTTAATTTTCAAACAAAAATGGATGTTCACCATCCCATTCTCATAGAGGTAGTCTGCACCCATGAATTGGATACGTGGGGTTACCTGCTCCTTTAATTTCTTTTACAATATATATATATCTGTGCTGTTCATTGCACACTATATGCACAGATAATATTTAGTAAATATCCGTAGATTATATAAATTCTATATCTTATATAACTTAGATATTTAGTCAGGGACCGATTCACTGCACACCCTGAACTCGCAATGCGATGCTGCCACGCGCCCGAGCCATGTCGGTGTCCGGCCCGAGCCATGACCGTGAGGACCAAGAGCTCTGCAGCAGCGCCAGATGAATTTTTGATGCCCGAATGTTGAGGGATGAGTTTTTGATGCTATTCAAGGTATTTCAAGGTATTTCAAGGTCGGAAAGTGGAAACACCTGAGGAGTCTGTGCCGTTTTGAGATGGTTTTAAGTCTTCACCATGAGAAAATCTGAACCATTTTGGCCCAAGTCTAGAAGGTCCATAAGTTTGTAGTCGAACCGATCTTATTCGCAACATGCCGTTGACCAAAATTTGTGCCATGTTCCTTTGGTGCCTTTTTGGTGTGTATGCGCTGTCCGATGGTACGGGCTGTGGGCATTGCATGGAGGAGAACGTGCTGATGCAGATGGTGAGCCTCCAGCCGAACGTGGAGTCGTCCCAATACCATCCCGGCCGTGCGCGCCGATTCCGCCGCTTCCGCCGCTTCGGCCGCTTCGGCCGCTACGGCGCGACGATTCCGCCGCTTCCGCCGCTTCGGCCGCTACGGCGCGACGACCACCAGCACTGAGAGAACCACAGCCACCACAAGCACCACCACAAGCACCACCACAAGCACCACCACAAGCACCACCACAAGCACCACCACCACCACCAGCAGGGTGGTATGCACTGGTGGTGTCACTGGCAGCTTGGCGGCTTTGGGTTCTGACGTTTTGCTCGAAACATCCACCCCGCCCCAAAATACATTCACAATCGATGTAAATGTGACATCCCCAGAATGTGAATGTGTAGGCGGTCCTGCATTCGGAGGTTATTTCATACCAGGCTACCTCGATGTTCGTGTGAGTGGTGTTCAGGATGCGAATGGTGCCCCTTTCATCGGCATCACAAGTCCCAATGGCACTGATGTGAAGGTAGCACCACTTCGCGAACAGAGCACGGGACTCGAGGCCGCAACCGTGGCATTCAACGGTTTCCCAGCAAATGGCAGCTGGGTCATCAAATTGCTGGATGCCAGTGGCAACCTTTCAACCCAAACGGCCACCAGAATTCGAATCCAGTTTGGGCTTATCAGCTGCAACCAGGTCTTGCCGACTCCTGATTGTGTTGGCAATTCGTTTGGTGGACAAGAATGGGTTGCTGAAAATCTCGCACTAGCGGGCACGACTCTTTCATCCAGCCCCACCCTACTCCACTTTGATGTGGAGGCGAGCAGTGCCTGCTGCGTCGCGGCTCCGCCTGATGGTTTTGTGTTATTAGTTCTTCTATTGAGTGGAGGTGGATCCCTGAATGCTGCTGGTCTCACCCCAGCCCCAGATGCCATTGCCTTCAATTTGCGCCCGCGAAACATTCAAAACCCTCCGGTTCCCACAAGAGTTCCCACTTTTGATGTGGACGCATTTGCAGGGGCTCGAGCTGCTGGGCTGTGGACCCTCAACACGTCCACAGATGCTACGGCGGTCATCCAAAGCACCGGCTCTGGCGTCAACATCCCGCGGCTTGAGCTAGCGGTGGAGCCGTGCTCCTAGGGACAGCCAAGGACAAACGTCTCTTGCCCTGACAGCTGGAGCCTTCCTAGCTGAAGGATAGCCTTAGCACAAACACCTGAGCTCTCGCGGCTGGGAAAAACAGGATTGTGTGTTTTCCGTTTTCAGTGATTCTTTGCTTTTGAAGAGGAGTTTGGATAGAGAAGAGCCGTTGGAAAGCCACAGCTGCAATTCCATCACCGTGGCCATCAAAATTCATGAGATATGATACGTTGTTATCTAACAATAATATACAATAATAATATAAATAAATATATATAATTATATCTATATATAATTATATATATACAGTATTTATACATATTTGGTATATATATATAATATATATATATATGTATCAGAAACATAGGAATTGAGACACTCCCCCTGGGGAACGTGCAGAACGCCCACTCCTTCAGGAGCTGTGAACTCGAGACCCATGAGCCTTTGCCACGGCTGATGGATGAAAAAGCATTCACGGTGCAACGTTGCAGCGCGTTGCAACGGGCACAGCATCGATATCATCAGTCATGGGATGCTAAAAGCAGGGTGAAGAGTTTTGTTTTTCACTGACATGTTAATTTTGAGGAAAGAAACATTTATGTGATCCATCCTGATCCCATTTTCTTTTCGAAAGCACATCTCGTGGTTAGGGTGGAAGCACTAAACAACTTCGCTGAGGGAAACAGTTTTGTGTTGTGTGGTGCAAGCAATTGCAAGCACAAGGAATGACTTCTTCAGAGTCTGCTGCAAGAGGTCATTTTGCAGCTCGTGATTCTGACTTGTGCCGTCTATTAGAACTATGGCTCTCAGTGCAGTACAACGCAAACCATGCCAAACTATCACAGACATCACAAGACATCACTAGACATCACAGCAGGTTGCGGGAATGACAGGGCCCACCTGCACTGGTTTATAGCAATCTGAGCAAACTGAGAGATCAACAACAACTCAGATTTTCTGAAAGTATATCATACAAAAGATCATAACAGATTGGCGGGAAAAAACAGGGCCCAGCTGCACTAGTCACTACTAGTTGATAGCAATATGTGAAAACTGAGAGAGAAGAAAACTTAGGTTTTCGAAATTTAAAACACGTTGAAAGTATTTAAACGCGTATTTATCAGTATATCATACAGTGTGGCCGCGCCTCATGCTGAATCTTGCGGAACTCAGTTCCTGGGACTGCAGGGTTTTTGACATTTCGTTGTTGTTTTGGCAACGTACAAGAAACAATGTTCACATCCTTTTTTTTTGTAGCAAGTCACCAGGTGCGTTTTTTTCCTCTACTTGTGGCAGAAGAAGTGACAACGGGCTGAAGGTATTTGGAGGTTTCCTGAAATGGGGGTACCCCAATAGCTGGTTGATTTAGAATGGAAAATCCCATCTATAAATGGATGATTTGGAGGTACCCCTATTTTAGGAAACCTCCAAATGTGAGATAATGTGAATCTGTTTGCCGGGTAGTCATATTACTGCTTCCCTTCAGTATCAGCAGTCAGTGATCAAAACTGGTCGCCGTGTGTGGTCAGCAGCGTGGGATTGTTTCTGGAGAATATGGGGATGATCATCGCGAACAATTTGGACGATGGGTCGCTGGTTATATTTGGACAATATGTGCCATGGTCATAGCATTGCGCAATTTGTTTCCATAAAAAGGGATGGCCATCCCCAAATCCCATATGGTCACATTATGTCACACTCATCAGCCATATTTGTTGGTGAAATCTCCATGCCCCAAGGCTGCAGCATGTTGGCACCGCAACGGGCGCTGCATGTGGAGCCAGAGCTACATGTGCCAAGGTGCAATGGTGGAGGGAGCATCAAGACTTGACGTTGTTGTTTTTCTTTTACTATGGATTTATATGGTATTAATCCCTTCACTCTATTACTAAAATGCTGGTCTATTTTTATTATCAAGGGGTTTGCAAAATTTTATTTTGCGAAGCTTCCCCCCAATATTAAATTCAAAACCTCAATGAACAAAACTATTTTTTATTTCAAAAGCAGTTAAATTCCTAATTTAATCGAAACATTGCCACACATTGGATTTCGAAGATTCCCCTAATATTAAATGAACAACCTTAACATTTGTTTTTTGATTTCAAAATCGATGGAATTATGTTTTAAAATCGAATTAAAAGCAGAGAGTGGAAGGGATAGGGAACCAGGAGATGGGATAATAAAACACCAGGTGTGATTCGATTTTTCGAAAATAGGGGTAAACAACTATTTCACCATCCTGTTCCCATTGGTTCTCAATTACCACAATTAAGAACGCAATTGTTTCAGCAACCAAAAAAAACACCGAAAGGGTCAACAACAATGTGGGAGTATCATGTTTTGTTGGAGCTGTGCGATCAGTAGAGGGTTCTCCTATAGTCCCTTTCTTAGTTGTTGGAAAGGATTGTTTTATCGCAGGAGGAGCCTGTTCATGCATCATTCCATCTTTTGAGATAAATTCTTTGCTGGAAAAGATCTTGCGCGGAAACTCCCCACCGGGGTTCAGCGCTTGGGTCATGAGTTATGATCCATTTTATTGTGGTGAAACTTTTCATTTGTGGCTGTCAATTTCCCTTTTGGGAGTTTGTGCACTCCCATTTTTTCGTCATCTTCACATTGTGCCGGTAAATCCTGCTATATTTTGCTTGGTAACAGCCCCAATGGTGCCCGAGGTCCTCGGCTGCGTCGCTTGTTGGAACCGATGGCCGGACGGGCAGTTCGTGGCAGCCGAGGGTCGCGACAGGTGCAACTCTGGTGATTTCAGAGTGATTCTGAAGAAGACAAAGTTCAAAGAAGGCAATCGTGCAAATGATATGAAAACATATTAAATCACCTAAATCACCTAAATCACCTAAATCACCTAAATCACCTGAGCCGGACCACCTGTTCTATCCAGTTTTTTGGGGATGCATCTGCAGGTCTCCTGGGAGTATTGGCTGCAAGAACTGCTTTGCGAGCCAGAAAGAGCCAAGGAGGCCCTGCTGTCCCAGTCTTCCAGGGAGATAAGAGTCAATGGCTCCTACAGATATTTGCAACATTTTCCACGGTCCAATTAAATTTAGCACTTTAAGTCTGGATGTCGAGAAACTAAAGCATGTGTTCAAGAGGTTCGAGAGTTTGTTTGAGAACTTGGCCTGTTTTAGCTTTAGCACATGAGCACAGCACATTTTAGTAGAGATGAATTGGGTATGTTGGCAGAAAAACCCACCACAGTGAAGACATGCTGGAACAGGCCCTGAAGCTTGAGAAGCACGGCTCCTGATTTACACCGATCATATATATCTTTGAATCATCTATAATCATTCAGTATTGGATATATATAAATATATAGATCATCTATAATCATTCATGCATAGGTATCATACTGTTCTTATAATATGGGAAATGATATAATTATAGTTTCTTTTTTAAAAGTTCATTATATAGTTTTCATATATAGTTCAATTTAAGTTATTATAATTAATATGGGGACTTAAATTATAATATAGTGACAATCATTTATAGACTATAGATGATTTATATATATATATATATATCCAATATTATATACAGATAATCTATTGCTTGATGAATTGAGGGGGTGCCTCATTCAACTGGTGAACACCCTGCTAGGTCCATCTGGTCCCATGCTACGGGAGAGGAAGCGAGCCAAGAAGGCCGACGTAGCAGCTTGAATGGATCATTCAACTGAGCAATGACAATATGTCTAAATAAAGTAAATACTGTATATTATATCTACGGTATAAACAAATAGATTCATAAATCACTGAATAAATGAATAAACTATTAAATTAAGTTAAACTAATATATACATATGTATATATATATATAAATACATGTGAGTGAATCAAACTCCACACTGGCAACGGGCCTCCACCTCCCAACTCCAAACACATCGCACCAAGACTCTTTTCCCCAAACGCCTGAAGAGTCCCTTCAGAGCACAAATCGGAGACGGATGTCTCCCAAGCAGCAAGCGGTCCACGGACCGCAGTAGGGATGCAACCAGGAGTTTGTTGTGGGAAGGAAACAACCCTTTTGACAGGAGAAAGGTTAGTTTTTCCTGGTGGAAGCAAATGCTTATAGACGACAGAAAAGGTTTGTTTTACAAGCCGAAACTAACGTTTTGGCGCTGCCGAAGATTGGTCTGAAAGCAGTGGAAAGAGAAAACAACCGGTTTCTTCCCAAAACTAACGTTTCCCCTGCGAACAAGAATGTTTCAGACCTCGAAACCATCCTTCTTTTCAAAACGTTAGTTTGAAACTGGAAACTAAAAACAAGCTGTAAATTGTAGTATTAGTACATCTACATATGATATATATATATTCTTATTTTGCTTGTTGATTTGAATTTTGTAGTGGATCTCCAATGTTGCCAAAGGTTGCTGAGTGGCTAGTACTATGTGTAGGCACTTTCTGTGATTTGCAGCGTCAGTTTATTTGTGAACGTAGCTCCCTTCCGGCAGACAACTATATTTAGACTGGGTAGTACTATTAGTCATCAAAAACTTTGATGGTAGTTGTATATGTCATAAAACTATAATCCCTTCCGGTCATATCTTGAAATTTTCTGGCAAAGGTCCTCCCGCAGTGGTTCTCGCAGGAGGCGCGTGATCGTCGCCTGGAGAAATTTGGCTCGCCCTATGTGCAGAACCGCCGCTTGGTGCAGGGGTGACCATGGTTAAGCTGACGGATGGGTTGATGGGTTGATATGATGATGGTGGGTCAACGACGGTCATTTTTTTGGTGAAACACTGATGGTCCCTAAATCCCAGGGCCAGTTATGGCCTATGGCCGGTGGCCTTGTTACCTGGTTAGATGAATCCCATAACTTCCTCTGCCTATGGCCTGAAGAACAATGGTGGAATTCCAACATTTGGATGCGTAGATATAGTTATATCAACTTATATCATATTATATATATACACACTACACATTACATTTTGCATTATATTATATATACATACACATAATAGATATCTACGCACATATTTTCTAGCCATCCCGTGGTGGTGTTCATTGCTGCCACTCCTGCGTTGAGGCCATGAACCTCCGCCGCTCACCGCCCGTGGCACGCCGAAGACGGGCGCCTGGGAGAGCGGCGCGCCGGACACGGAGAACATGCGACAGGGGCAGTTCCGCTCCCCTTGGACTGGGCAGGTGGGGTGAACTTTTCAGCTCTGGTGAGCCTGATTAGAAAAGATTAGAAAAATGGAATGTTTCTAGTATGGGTCTCTTTTATATTGATGCATGATGAATTATATTGATGTATTCTTAAAAGTATTGTCTTTTATGGCTGGTTGTATTGGATGGATATTAAAAAAAGGATTTGTAAACTGAACTGGGAGCCCATGGATCATTTCACGTCTTACCCTCTTCACTGCCTCAGTTGCATGTCTCGTCTTCATTCTAAGGTTCTGGGCAAATTCAAGCGACATAGGTGCATAGTAGCCAATCTCCAAATTTTGGTGGGAAGTTCCTTTCCAACCGATAAAGCACAGTATACTCCAATACAGGTGGTTGATTTCCGATTTCCATACCTGACTCTACCCACCATTCTATTTGATGACTCATGAAATGAGATCGCTCTCGGAGTCTCGGCCTCTGGGCTTCGCTCCTGAAGGTCTATGACCGTTGGGCCCCAGAAGGCAAGGTGCAGCGAAAGACGGACCGACAAGGCGGTCTGGCGCGCGCGCGAGCCTTTGAAACTCCAACGCAGAGGCCGAATGGAGATTTGGGTATCTTGCTATGCAGTGAAATTGAGATTTGCCAAGATTTGCCTGAAATTTTGAGAGATGATATGTTGAAGAGATTGGACTAAACATACCATATACCTCCAACTTCCCAGAGCCTCAAGATTTGAAGCCAATTTTCTCGCAACGGCTGAAACCAGCTCCAGGCAAATTGCAACTGCGGTGGAGGAGCGGCTGGCGGATCATACCCCAGAATGGGCCAAGTTCTACCCAGGCTGCAGGGTCGGGGTTTGGCTTGATATTTCTTGATGCGGATTTCCAATGGAATTCCATAGGTTCATAATTATTTTAGTGTTTATTAGCATTGATTGTTTATGATTTATAGTTAGTCATAACTATGTATTTATGTTCCATAGGATCAAAATTATTCTTGGTAAGATTGATTGTTCTTCAGTGTGTGTGTGTGTGGATCATTGGCTGTTTGCTATCACTAATTGCACGCTGTCCTTTTGACCGTCACAGCAAGCACAACTCCAGGCTTGAGATGCTTTTGGAGGACAAAGTTCTCATACAATGAATGCATATGCTAAGGTTGGTTTTCCCCATATAATTGATTAAATGTATACATCCTATTTCAATGTACTTATACGTGTATACAATTATGTATATATACATTTCCTTATACACATACACACATACACATATAATTGATAATAGTTGTTTTTCCACCAAGAGTTGACTCAGGGTTGTTCTCTCCATGTCCTGCTTGAGGTTTGGCTCCGATTGAGAAGTTGCCGCCCGGTCAGCGGCGCAGCGGTGCGCAGGTCAAAACCTTTGACAGGTGCGGGGGTTCCCCGCAGAGTTGGTCTTGCAGAGTTGGAGACCGGTGCTGTGATACCCTTCAGGGGAGGTAACCTTTCTTCAAGGTCCCACGGTCCTTCGGTGAGAAATGGCTGAAATGGCTGAAATGGCTGAAATGGCTGAAATGGCTGATTGGATTCATCGGCCGCTAGGCATGCCTACAGAGCTGGGAATTTTGGGGACATCTTCAAGCAACTCTTGGTGCACACCATCGTTGAGCTGAAAGTGGCAAAGAAGGCCGAGCGGGTTGAGATAACAAGGTCCTGCGACCGTAATCAGCATCACCCTGACATCCCCATGTTGACGGATCTGCTGTGCTTCTTTGTTTTTTTCAACGCGTCATCGTTTTTGAAGAGGGAGATGAAACTGATGTCTCGGCTTCCAATGTGAGCTGAACAACGGGATCTGACAGGTGTGTTGTGTTTGGATGTCCAATTTTTTTTTGGATTTCTAATTCATGGGGGTAGCCCCAAATCATCCAAGTCATTAGACTAAGACTTAGTATTGAAACAACCATGGTGACGACTGGGGATCCCCCATGACTTAAGAAGCCCTGATATGGATTCATGAATGGATGAGCATTATCTTTATCCACCATCATATCGCCATTATAATCCATATATAATCATATATATATATATATATGTTTGCGCACCATGCTGCCACTATGACAGAAAGACCAACGCCCCTCAGCATGATGTGCATAAGTGCCCATCTCACCACCCAAGCTACATCTCGGAGTCAGGCAGTTCCAAATCTGGCTCCGGCGGCGGCTTTAAACGGACATGGGCCTCCAAACCTCTGATGACACCCATGATTTCGATCCACAGACCAACCCAATCTTTGCTGCAACTCATCAACAGGAGCAGGAAGGCTGCGAGCGTGGTCGAAATGTGGGCAATGCCAAAAAATGTGAGAAACACTGGGCACTGTTTGTTGTTGACAGTAAGGACACTGCTGGAGCACTGGCCATCCGGCTTGGAGGCGCTCAAAGTTGATTTTTTGGGCGCCATCATACCGCCACATGCAACTGTTCGGCCGACAGGTGGCAGCCTAGCTGCCGCGCCAGCTTGGAATCGATTCTGTCCGCAGACAACCACTGGTCAAACATATGTTTCCTCCAAGATATGCGCAACAAGTGGAGAGTGGCATGCTCCATTGGCGAGCCAAGGCGGCACAAGCGTGTCCATGCTTAGCCCGCAAGAGGTGCTACTGAAAAGACGCACGAGCCGTGCGAGCAACCGCTTGAAACAGCAAATCTGAAACATGGCCTAAAAAGAAAACTTGCCTGAGCGGCTTTGAAGATCTACCCGCCGGGAACTGCGGGCATTTGGTGGACAAATCAAAACGCATGAGAAAATTCTTGGTTTCTGACTTGTTGGGCCAGCAACCTCCTATGCCAAAGCCCCAAGTTGCAGTGGGAGCCACTACTGTAGCAGCCAGGCGCTGCTTCAAGTCGGCCCGTATTGGCAATGTGCTGAGCTCATCAGCTTTCCTACCCGCCGCTGCTAATCTTTCCATTTCATTATTGCTTGGACCTTTTCCCGGCATGCCTATGGTCATCCCTAAAACTTGGACTGTTTCTTCAGCCTCAAAACCCGCCCCCTGCTGCTTGTCATACATAATAATCCCCATATAATCCCCATATGATCACATAACCAACCAACTAGGACCCACTGGGACAGTTGTTGTTCCCCCAATGATTCCCAAGTTATTTTACAAGCCCCCGCGGGGTGGATATACAGCAACGCGTTGGCAAAGTTGGTTTAATAACTAGGTTCACCGAGGTTTATAATAACAATAAATAATAACAATAACAATAATCATAATAATAATAATAATAACTATGGTTAGATGGGAAGCAAACTAGCTAACTATAGCAATTATCACCATCTAACTATGTAGTTCTAACATCTTATAATCATAATCCAACAATCGTAACTACAGCTAGCTGATTATAACTACAGTTGGCTGGAAACTGGTAACTACATAAGCTTATATCATACAACTACAGTTAGATGGGTATTGAAGCACCGTGGCAACGTCAGGAGTCTCCGGTCTGGTATGTGGAGCCCTGCGGTGGCGAGGGCGAGTACCATGTGGGCCGTATGCGGGATGTGGACGACGAGCGGCAACCCATGAAGTGGCCAAGAGCCGAGGACAGCGTTGTTTGGGCTGTTTTTCACCAAACCCATGGAGCGTTTACCACGAAAAATAGTGGTTTAATATGGTTTAATTACCAAGAAGATGACGGTCAATGACGGTATGATGAATATGTTGTCAACTGAACATGGGGGAGAGCCATAGAATAACATACCACAACTAATAGTTGACCTGAAAATTCTAACAGGTCAAGAAGTTCATCACAGATCCCGCTGGGAGGATCTGTTCTCAGTTCTTCAAGAACAAGATCTCACCTATCTGCCTCCAGAGGTCAGAGGATGGATGGATGCCATGAACATGTTGAGCCTGGGCAGCGGCAGCATGTTGCAGAACCAGAATGTGGTGAAACCCAAAACGTGGTACCGTTTTCAAATGGCAGTTCCATGATGATAGATGAACACAGAAAGACCCTGAAGCATTTGCAATTGAAGGCACCATGTGCACTATTTCTTCGCTATGGATCCCGTGTCAGTCAGCCACATCTGCATTGCCAAGGAACTTTTCTGATGTGGACTTTGAAGTGACTGGCGACGGACGCAGAAGGGCAGTAATTGCTTCACCTGATGGGAACATCCCCAGCTGATAATTTGGGTCGCATATTGCATATTATATATATATGTATATGTATATATGTATATATATATGTATATATATATGTACATGTGTGCCACATACCATGGGTACTCAACTCCAAAATACACTACCATTGGTATGTTGATTTGAACAGACCCAGCTTCTCATTTGGTTTCGGTACCTACACCCAGCTTCTCGGGGCTTTGCCAACCGACATTTTTCCATAAATATTCCTGACTTTCAAAGATTTTGCCTTAAACCAACTTCAACCCTCAGTGTTTTTTCCAGCATGACATCCATTTTTCACTCCAGGAGCGGGCAAAGATCCGAGGGAAGATGGCATCCAATGGCTGCCCAGCACTAGCGTCATGGCCTTGCGATTACTGCGCACCTTGGCACCTTGAGGCGTTTGTTGGAGACCATCCAAATTGATTAGATCCAAATCCATGGCAGTAGGGGATGAATATACTCAAAAAAGCTTGATTTATTGGAGGTTAATGGTGGTTATTGGTGGTTAATGGTGGTTAATGATGGTCAATGATGAGTAGGTTATCATGTATCTAGTGATGGTTACTTGGTCAATGATCAATTAGATCGAAGGGATTACGTTAAGGGATCATAAGCAGTTTAGAATCCGCCATAGGATTGTCTTCAATTGGTCTTTGAAGGATACATATTTTGGATGATTCAAATTTGTTTCGGTGAATCGGAAACATTCGGGGGTTGGAAACATGGCTGAGCAGACGAAGCTTGGACAGTCAAAAGCTGAAATGTAGTTGTTTCACAATTCAGATTTATAGATACATAGATATCACTGATATATTTATATATAATTTATATATACACACACACACCATACATACATATATAATATGTGCCATATATATATACCACACACCCCCACACACACCCACACACACATATATATATACACACACACCATATACAATTATATATATATATATATATCCAGATATAGAAGCAGTGCACTTTTCCGTGATTTTGGGCTCTAAGGTGAGCAGGATCCAGTGACCATTTGGGAGGCCAGCGGATTATTTTTTGTCTCCGATAGGAAGATCTTCCGGTTCAAGATATGGATTCCATATGTTTTCAGTAAGAGGTGTACTGAAAAAAATCCACCATTTTTAATGGGTAAATCCACTATTTCTATGGTCATTTTCAATAGCTATGTTAAAATCTGTAAGTAAGAGGTGTACTGAAAAACTTAGGACCCATGGATCTGTTGAAAAAAAAAGTAGGCCCAGCTGGCAGAAATCGCTGCAGGATAATCGAACGGCTTTTGGACCACTCTTCAACTTCGTGAGAAATTGGAGCTCCAAGTTCAAACCACACATTGAGCTCCTGGCTGGAACATGATGGAAAATGGCTTGGTTTTTTTAAGCCATTCATCACAATGTGCGTGAGGAAAATGAGGTTTTTTCAGCCATGGAATGGTGTTTATTTCGCTTCCCAGTTTTGAGACAACCGCTGAAATGTGCTGCCCACATTTCCACGTGGGTCAGGGGGTGAAAACTCAGGTTGATCTTCAAGGATGGTTTGAAGCATTGCCACCGAAGATGGGTGCAGCTGAAACCAGGATCTATCTCAGAAGTGTGCCCTGTCCGACAGCAGCAAGCCGCCTCATGTGGAGGTTTCCTAAGTCATGGGGGTACCCCTAGTTCTCATCCATTGAAAAATAGGATTTTCCATTACAAACCATCCAGCTATTGTGGTACCACCATTTATGGAACCCCTCATGTTTCGTCGCAAGTGGCGAGGTATGGCAAGTACAAGGGCCAGCGCGGTGTTGCTTCTTGGCCATTGCTGGAACTATCGTTAACCTGCCCCCAAAGAAGCTGTCCATTTCCAGCAGAATCCACTTAAATTCTATAATTATATATAGATAGCCAATTTTCTGGGGTCCTAGATGATCTCATATATTTGGCCCCAGAAAATATATGATTATTATATATACTGGGGTATATTTTGGGGTCCTAGATAATATCATATATAATCTATATAGTAGATTTTCCTGGCTGTTTTGGATTCCACTAGGCTTTTGAGCTTCAGAAGTGTCGCTGCTTCCGAGGTCTTCATTGACCCAGACTACACTCGCGGTGGCGAAGCGGAGCGCTGTCAGAGGATCATGGTGGATCTATGGAAACACTGGCGTTCAGCGACAGTGGTGGTGACCTATCCCATAGGCGGGGTGATAAACTGATCCACCATGATCTGAGGTGGATCTATGACCACCATAGATCTATGGTGATAAACTGGTCTATGGTGATAGTTTATCAGTGGTGGTAGATCTATGGTGATCTATGGATCCCATAGGCAGGGTCAGCGATAAACTGATTTAAAAAAAACGGGTGATGGAGGTTGTTTTTTTGTAACAGATGTTGATTGGTCTGAAAATCGTGTACTGATAGAAATGATCCATGGGTGAATAAATAAATATGGTCAATATCAGAAATATGGTTATATCCCATAAATGATCCTTTTAATAGTTTATATTATATATATTATCCCAAGTAAACTTAGCAGATATAGTTTATATTTAATATATATATATATATTATTACCCATTAATTACCCATTTATATATTATATATTTATATATAATATATATATATTATCCCAAGTATAAAATTATATATATATATATATTAATTGGGGGAACACATCATTTTCATACTGACCCAAATGACTCTGCAGAAGTTTCTCTAAATCTCAGCCATTTTCCGTCGAATCCATCGTCTTAGTGGGAAGGGCATCTGCCCAGCCTTGGAAGCGTCTGACAGGTCCTCAGTATGAGAAGAAGGCCAGAGAATCGTGGCTCAAAATGGCGATTTTAATAATTTTAAAGACTTCAGGGGAGAAAATATCAACAAAGCTTTGCAACAAAAAGAAGTAATTAGCATCAATTAGCTAATTTTGGGCAGTTTGAAGAAATTGGATGAAGAGATAAGTCATTGTTATCTCAGATGTTCTGATGTTCAGATGCCAGTCCTTGGAAAAGTTGATTCTTTTTTGGTCACAGCAATGGTTCCAAGGATTTCAACATGTCAGTGAGAAAAGCCGACAAGACCTTGGACCTCATGACCATCGAAGCCTATGCAGCTTGGTGAAAAGCCATGGCTTCACATATGGCCCCCTGCTGCCCCAAATAACTTGAGCCTCCCAGGTGGAGAACAAGGACTGGCATGAAGATTCCAAGGACCGGGAGCCTCTGGTGGCGTGCTTAAAAAAAATAGGCTGAAGCCAGAGATTTTGGAGCATTTCTAGCCTTGAAACATCTTTTTTTCCGCTCCGCGTTCTTTTTGGTCATGAAAAATTGGACCCCTAGCGATGTGAGTTCTGTTCGAACTGACAAAAAACTGACTTTTAGCAAAGCCACGCGTACTTGGGGGTGCAATTCTAGTAAAACAAGTGGATATATTTCACCATACAGGGTATAGAATATAGTTTTCCATATTCCAACTATAGGACATACCAATAATACCATAGTTCCACCTAACAAGTGGAATATAGCTCTTTTTGGGGGGCCTCATATCCCAACTTGCCGAATGCCAGGAAGACAAATGGCGAGGCTATGGTATGCTGATCTCCCAACCACCGCATACCACACAAGAACGGGCCACCGCAGCTTTGAAGGCGACACGCGAAGACGTGTGCTGCTTTGGGCCGAAAATGGCTTGAGGCTTTTAATGGGTGTCTCTGAAAATGGGGGAATTGTTCACCCCCAGTTATGGCAATCTTAATAGGAATATATATATATACAAAATACATATATATATATATATGTAATGATATCACCAATAGATTTACAGGTGCCCTATTTACATCTATTTACCCTATTTTCAGAGAAACCCCGTCTGAAGGGTACGAAAGCATAGCAACATGGTAACGGGTTGATCATGGGTTGAGCTTATTGTGGATGATCAGTTGACGGGGACTTGTCAGGGTTGAATTCTTGTGATCCAGACATATTCAGACCATGAATATCTTAGAATCCGTTGAAGGGATCATTAAAAAGGGAAACTCTATAATGTTTTGGCTTAAAAAACCATGGTTTTCTGGACATTTCCCCTTAAACCGATCCTTTGAGAATAGGTGCCAGATATGCCCACAAGGGATTCCAAATAGTTGAAATAGTGAAGCTATGTCAAGAACAGCCCAGATATGCCCCGCTGGCACCAAGGCACCGGAGATAGTTTTATGTTTGACTCATTCTCAGCCAATATGATGTTACAAACCAATCATTTTATGCTTGAAACAAGGAATATAAAAAAAAAAAATCTGGGTGGAAACCCAACTTCTTGTTTGAAGCGATTGGATGTGGATGGGCTTCCAAACTCCCTTACACCAAACGCATACCGAGCCTCACCCAAAGACCATTGGGCTTCTGAAAATCATCGGGTACTGTACCCAAAATTTGATGGCAAATTTGGTTCATCACCAAATGGTTCCCATCAAAGCAGCCATTAAAGCAGCCATAACTTGGGGCCATACCTGCCATATCGCCAGGTGGTTTGCGATGCTTTGGCAACGATGCCAAATGCTGATCCCATCCACGTTCGCGTTGAGAGGCTTTGATCCCAAGTCGGAAGTCGCTGGCACTGAAAACGGTTAAACATGGTTAAACCGTTAAAGCGCAAAGGATGAGAAAGGCAATCTGAAATTTCTCAAGATTCTTTGGATCACAAACTTCAGGTCCCGACTTAAGTGGATCCTGCTAGCTCTCCCGACGTGCGACGACTGAAAAGTCTGCAGGACAACTGGCTTTCAGCTCAATCTTCATTTTCCATGGTGTTTTTTAAACCTGCGTTGAGTCAGAGATTGTTGAGATCGTGGTAATCTTGTTGATTGTTCAGTGCTGTTGGTTGGGTACCTGGGTACCTCACTCTCTGGCTGGGAGTATCTAGCTTCCTCCACAATCTGGCCACAATCTGGACAGGGAGGCATTTGGCCCGAAAGATCCGTTTGTTGAAAAGATGGACATTACCATACCAAGAGGTTTTTAGCAAAAGTGCAACCAGTGCACCCCATTCGAACGAGAATTTCCACACTTACCATACAATTACCCAAATCTATCCAAATCTATCCCAATCTATCCCAATCTATCTAGATCTATCCAAACCTATCCAAATCAATGGTAAAAAAAATGGCATTCTGCGACGCCAAAGGGGCGAGAAAAATCTCATCTCGCCTCGCCATGGGAGATCTGGAGATTTTGGGTGCCATGAGCGGCTGGGCAGCAGCAACGGGGGGGACATCATGATATAGAAAATCCATTAAGATAGAATATAATATAAGTATACATGAGTGAACTATTAAAAAAAACATAATATAGCATGACGGCTATACTAAGTATCTATAATAAGTATACATCAGTGAACTATAATATCTATCTGTATATGTATTTTAAGTGTTTATCTATACTTATCTCTGTTCATGTCCTGTAAGGAGAAAGAGCCGATCATTGTGAGTACATTTTCAACAAAGAGCAGTGCACGGCGATCAATTTGAGGGGATTTGCTAGGAACAGCGCAAGAAACAGCAACGTTGCCCCCAATTCCAAGCGTGTGCAACTGGGCCTCTGAATATATACAATGCAACCATGCATACCTAATATAAATATGTATATATGTACATACTCACAAACTATGTATACATACTTTTACTTATACTTCTGCTTATACTTATACTTTTACTTATAGTTATTATATATATATACATCTTGGTATACTTATTATATAGGTATAGGTACAAGTATAAGTATATACATATACTTATAATAATATTGTATATATATATATATATTTATGTTTGTGCTTATGCTTATAGCCTTGCCTTTCCTCCATGGGCCTTGCCTCAGCTGCGAGGTGGCGAAGCCTTTCATCGCTTCCAGGCATTGCCTGGAAGCGATGTCGTGACATTTTTTGTGATGGGATTACTGGGATGCATCATATATATATATAGGGATATATGGGATATATGGGATATTGTATATACAATTATCTGGATACACTTGAATAGATGGATATATATATATATACATACATGGGATACATCGGATTCATGGAAATGAGGATATGTTAGATATGAATGGGATTAATAGGATAGAACGGGTTTTGAATGGAAATAGAATATGGGGATGTGAAAAACCATCAAACACAGTTTTGAAACAATTGATTTCAGTGGGGAATCTTACAACAATAATGGGGCATCTAAACATGTTATGGGGTTTGTAACGGGGATATACTTTGGATACAATTGGGATACGATGCGATATACAGTACAGCCGAGAATATGATAATTGGCTTTGTCAAAAGATTGGGTAAAGCCCAAAATGACAATTCTATTGGGAAAAACCTTTAGTGAAAGTGGGAAAAACCAAATACACAATTCTCAGACAAACACGTGTCCAGAATTCACAGCACCTGCACACCTATCAACTTCAGCAACGAATGCAGCTTGAAGAGCTTAATATTTGCAAGAATCATCAGCCAGAATCTTTGCATACCTTCTGGACATACCCTCCAATAATCAAAACATGGCAATGGAAAATCCCCTATTCATAGATGAATTTCCCTTTAACACCTCCATTTTTGTCGATTTTATAGTGGACATTTATAGATTTTATAGTGGATTTTCCATTGCTAAGTTTGATTAGCAGAGATTTTTTGCAGTTGGATTGCGGTGCTTGATTCAGGCCAGCGAACTGAAGGAATTGCAAGAAGTGGTGGATCTGAAACATGCCATTTGCAAAGCCAAGGGATTGCCGAAACTCGGAGAGAGGAATGATGGCAGATTGGCCGGGAAAGGACATGGCCGGTGCCTTGTTTAAGGTAAATGGCCGAAAGAGTTCAGAAGGCAAAGCTCTCCCAATTTCATTTCGCTCATGCACATCATCGAATCTACCGGCTTTGCGATGTAGAGTGTTGCAATTCTTCTTATCAGCCTTTCCAGTGACAATTTGCACATGTATCCCATGACTTTCTCCTCTTTTGACCTCTCAGCACGTCAAGAGCCTAGGAATTCCTCAATGCTACGGCTATTTGAGGACAAGGCGTGGGAAGTTATACCCCAGTGGTGGGATAACCATGGATAACCCCACTGAATGTCGTTGGCCGTGGGAGGCTGAAGCTGGCGAAGTTGTGAAAGCGGTGCCTTTGCAAGACAACCTCCCACTTCAGGCTGGGTAGGAAAGACTGGACAGAGTGGAGAAGCGACACAGTAATCTTTGTAAAGAACTATAAAAATATTGTCCAAAGAATCCTAAAGATTCCATATTTGGGGACGACCACTACATCTGACATCATTTAGATTCGTTTAGACTATTTAAGTAGAATAATCTGGTAAACCCAATAATAAACCATCCCCAATGTTACCATAAATAGGAAGTAACTATCATCCCCAAATGGTAAGTTTCTTATTGGCTTTACTGTATCTACATTATTTCTGACCATCACCATCAGATTATAATTATCATCACTATTATTATCACCATTACTAATGAAATTATCATGATAATCATGATGATAATCATTGTGAAAATAATTATATTATGACATGAAAATCATCATTATAATACTACTACTAATAATAATCATCATCACCATCCCATAGCAAAATGCTACTACTACTACTACTACTACTACTACTACCACTACCACCACTACCACCACCACTACTACCACCAATAATAATAATCATCATCACCATCCGATAGTAAAATGCTACTACTAATAATCATCATCGTCATCATCACCATAATAATCATCATCATCCCATAGTAAAATAATTAGATTATAGTAACATATTATCATTATCATCCCATACTAATCATCATCCCATAAAATAATAGTAATCATCATACCATTAGCTTTTGTTCTTTTTGACTCAACGAGATTCCCATCACCCCATCATCGAAATCCAGGAACTGTGGCGCCGGAGATTGCCCCGCTTGAGGGCCTTGGTGCCTGGGACTATCCCATTGTTGTGACCATTATTTTTCTTATATTATCAATATTGATCATAGATGAACATATACCATATTGATTAACCAGTATCTTAATTATTGATCATTATTGATTATTATTGAAGATAATGATTGAATACAACTGATAATGCTATTATGATATGGGATTATTAATGGTAAATAATGATTGAGTTCATGAAAATTGATAACTTCATAAAAAATGATAATGTTTTAAAATGATGATTGAGTTCCTGGCACTATTAGAATGTGCATGTTTTACTCCGTGATGATATTTTGGTTCCATAAACAAGCAACCATAGTTGTATTCGAAAATCATTCAGCAATCTCCATACATGACTATTCTGACTATTCTCATAGAATTGGATGATGGGAAAATTGGAACCGGAAAGACCTATATTTCATGGTAAAAACCCATGGGTTTCCGGTTCAGATTTTCCCAACTAAACCAATCCATTGATATTCAAAATGATCACCGTCGAAACGCAGGGAATTCATGGGAAAACCATGGTTCAACCATGGTTTCAATCAGGTCCTGTTGCCGGAAGAAGACACGGCCCCAAGGACCGCTGAAACGAGAAACATGGTTGAAACGCCTCTGAAGTCTGAGGAACAGATACATATCAGCTATGGTATGCGCACGTAATCACAAAACATGTTCATACAAATGCACATACATACACTTTGATGATTGATGGGGACGTTTCAGGATTAATAGGAATATTTCAACATGTTTAATTAATATGTAAATCCCTCAATCATATATTTAATAAGAGTTGTTTCAACATGTTTCAAAAACATTAGTTTAAACCTGCTCAATTTGAAACATTTTCATGCAATGTTTCCACTTTCTAATCTCTGGGGGATTTAATCAACAAACATGACTAAGTTTTAATGTTCATAATTCATAATCTATTTATATCAATTAATCCACCATGTTTATGATTATCATGGTCGAATAGAATATATGATTATGTTGAGCGATTATGTTTTCCATATGATCTTTAACACATATATGATTAATCAATTTATATGAATTGATCCACCATGTTTTCATCTTATAATCCACCATTTATCGGTCAGGAGCTCCCAAGGTGGCAAAGCTTTGACCGTCACGGAGGCGAAACCCGCCCTGCAGCTGCTGGGGCGTCAGGCACAGGTGGCCAGCCGATTTCAGTCGTGAAGAAACCCGAGAGATGATGGTACCCTCTGGTGATTGGGATTTTCCATGGGGATTTTGTGGTGATTTTAATGGGGAATTCATCAACCAAAATGGGAATATGAATGGGACATAGCTTCTGGTAAACTAACAGGTTGCTATTGAAAATGGCCATTCATAGTTGATATATGTTGATATACGTATGAATCATGGTGAGTTTCAATAGCCATGTTAAATTAGCAGAGGCTAAATCCTGGTAAATCCTCCGAAAAAATGGGTTCCTACAGATAATAGATGATAAATGATGACAATTATTGATGATCATCTATATCATCTATTATCTAATAATTGTGATGATAATCCCTAGGATAAATAATGATGATCCAATGGGTTACCTTTTCATAATTGTGATGATCCCCTGGCTTGGGACTGCCACATTGAAAAAACAGCCGAGAGCGTCTCAGGTGATTACTCAGTTGCCTTCAGAGCTGCAGGGAGATCGAGCTTTGGTTCTGGAAGCAGTGATGAAGAATTGGAAGGCGCTTAAAACAAAGAGACCATTGCGAGACCGTTGTGTTTGTGTGTGGTCTCCACGAAGGTGATAGGGATGGGTATTCCATGCACCCGTTCGTGTTGAGCATGGCGGCACGAGGATTGTTTCCGCAGTGGGATCTCGCATTTCAAAAGCTGAATTTCACTGTGACACACATGACATATCCATTGCTTGAAGCTTGTCACTCTGAGATAAACCCAACAGTCCCCCTAGAGCATACACCATACATCACAGCACATGAGGATAGCGCAACTTGCCCCCATGCTCCGTATGCCCAGCTTGTGAATGACTGCTACACATGTCATGCCGATGTAGGTCTTGCGATTCTGCCGTGCCAACTTCCAAGATGATTTGGAGATTGTGCGACAGGTGCGCGACGCCATATGGCTGTCTTTGGAAATGGGGCAGAACAACAAAATGGCAAGTTTAAAAGGGACATGCTAAACCAGGTCATTCAGAGGCACCCTATTTTCTCACAAACAGATTCTATGGATACATACATAGATTATATGTAGATGAATGATGGCACATGTGATACTTTTTTTTGGCTACCCATATATTTCCAGGACAAAAGGGGGTCCCTGCGGCCGGTTGCTCCATCTGCCCAATTTCTTTGGGTTAGATTGGGGTAAGTCCTATGCTTACCGGTATATCCAGATAGTTGATATAGTTTCTGTAGATGCTATATAATTATACACATTCACATCTATTGATCTGATGTATATGCATATGTGTCTGTATATACATACATATATATATATATACATTTTCATCCATCCATCCAGCCAGCCATCCAACCATCCAACCATCCAACCATCTTCCATTCATCTACCTATATATCTTTACATTATATTTAACTGTAAACACATACTCACACATATATATATATACATAATTATATATATAATTATATATATATATCTATATATCTATATATCTATATATATATCTATATCTATATCTATATATCTCTATATATATATATATATCTATATATACACATGTATATATTACCCACGGCGATCCTTGCCACATCTAGGCCATGTTGCAAAACGTGGCTGCCTTGGAGTTCGCCTCGCTGCGTCTGCGCGGGACGAAGGCGCTGTTTCTGGAGGCGGTGGCGTTGAACACCGCGGCGCTGCAGCATCTCACGGACGAGCTGAGATGCTTGCGACGGGTTGGGGTTGGGGGTTGATGGGCTTGGGAAATGCGTGGGAAATGGCATATAAAACTCATATAAAACTCATATAACCATGAAAAAGAAGTTTGATATTAACCATTAAATATGAACAGAATATTCAAGGCATATCTTACGAGGATCTTTTTTCTGGAGGGGATAGATAGATATATATATATATGTATAATTTGGGGGTGTATCATGGGATACAGTGACCCCCAAAAGGGTTGGGCATTTGGTAAAACATGATGAATGGTACGTTTATATAAGTGCTTCTATTTTTTGGGGGGGTTACGATATTTTCCATAACTAATGTCAAACCAGGATTCAAGAGTTTTGGTTGATCAAATCCCATTAGATCCCATGATATATCCCCATTGAATCCGCAGTGGATAGATATCACCGACTGATCATATGATGATTAATCCCTCGTGTTTGACTTTTGACGGTCCCATCTATGATCACCATATGATCACCATATGATCTACCATCCGCACAATCCCCATCTTTGATCCCCACGAAATTCTTGGATTTATAGAGGGATTTATCCCCATGAAAGCCCAGATGTTTAACCTATTTTTCATGGTGAATCCCATACCATTTCCATATTTCATCCCAATTGGTGAATCCCCACACGTCACCGAGGAGAAGATGAGGACCTTCTCCGTGAAGCCTTGCGCTGGAACCCCTTCGCCCTGCGTTTTGCCTCGCCGGCCCTGGCCAATCGCAAGGCCGCCTCCGACCTTGGAGAAGTGGTGGAGAAATGGTGGAGAAAACATGGGGAAATCATTGATTTTATTGGTATCTAATGGGGACATATGATACATGGGAATATCTAATGGTGATATCTGGATATTTCTGATTTAAATGGATATTGCATGGATATTTGAGCAAAGATAGGAGGGGGTTCCTGAAATGTGGATACTGCAGATACCTCTAAATCAGCAAGTGTTTTTGTGATTTTCCATTGTAAATCATCCAGCTATTGCGGTACCCCTCCTTTATGGAAACCTCAATGTTACCCTGGGCTAAACTAACGATGATGATTTAGATGTGGAAAATGGCTCATTTATGGATGAATTACCTATTCAACAGGTGATTTTCCACATCTATGCTAGTTTGCACCAGGGTATACCATGGATGAAGCGATTTTCCACATCTATGCTAGTTTGGTCCAGGGTATACCATGGATGAACCATATATTTCCCCATGTTTTAAAAAACCATGATTGATTGGTAACTCCATCATAGGCCAAAACACATAGACATATTCCCAACCATTGATGGTACCTCAACATAAACATGGCAGGTATCATCAACGATTTATATCGATTGCCACAATCATTTTATTACACTCCCAGAATTGAATGAAGGGAAACTCCATGGGGTTGATCCCAAACAGTTTGGGGTAAAACACATCAAATCATCAACAAATCAATCCATTGATATGTGGAAATCACTCTTTTTAGGGCGTTTTGATGGGCTTTTAGGTTGATCATTTGGAGACCATGATCTAGAATGAATATGCAGCATGATGGTGGTAGATTGTTTCGATGGTGGTAGATTTATTCAACATATAACATATTTTTCTATCTAATATCTTCATGATGAATATACATTCATGTAGACTTACTCAACACATTATTATAGATGATCTCATGATCATTGTTTAATCAGCTGTGATTTTGGTTGGGTGACTTCTCAGATGTTGGCCCCCAAGGAGCTGGTGATGCAAGCAGTGAAGGCTGAAGGTGGCTGTGAAAATCGGGGAGACTCGTGGCCTGGTGGTTTCCTAAGTCATAGGGGGTACCCCCAGTTGTCATCCAATATCCACCTATTGGGGCATCACCATAGCCATGGAACCCCCCAGACTGGGGGAATCAGCAGCTATGACTTCGGGTAGCGGGTACCAAGGTTTTGACTCATAAAGTGTGCCATAGTGTGCCATAAAAAGTGAGTGAGTTGACTAGACATACCCTCTGTTAATTAACATAGCCATGGTATAGGTGGCCCTAATCGAAATAGATGGTTTACCTATTAGACATGGTGAATCTTTCCATGGCGAACTGTTAGTCATAACCAGATGGTAGATGGATGACATCAACAAGGCCTGGATGATCAATGCTTGGATTCAACGTATATTCCCTGCCTGTAATACGGTGACCCCCGAATCGCTGAATTAAAAACGCCGGTTATTGGAGGTTGTTGGTGGTCCATAACCCCCCTAATAAAATCCGAATAAACCCGTATACTATGGGAAGGTCACCAGCCAACTCCCCACTAGATGGGTGAAGCCAAGGCCTTGCTTTGCTCTATGCCGGCCGAGAGATGCGGGAAGATGCAGAGGTGCCATGTGGTGATCGGCTTGCCCATCTTGAGGTTCAAATATGTTCAGATCCTTCAGCCCCAAGTCTCATCCTGATCTTGGGATTGTTCCGTGTTTTTCCCAGGTTTTTCCAAACAACATGGATTTTGCCATGGGTTTTTCCATGTTTTCCAGTGATCTTCCCATGGATTTCCCGTCCACGACCTCCCCACCGCATGCCCCGTCGCAGGTCGTGCGCGCAGCGGTGAAGCAGAACGGCAGTGCGCTGATCTTCGCGTCGGGCGAGCTGCGGAATGATCGCGGGGTGGTCTCTGAGGCGGAGATCATGGCTGATTTTATGGTGATTTTCTGGTAAACATACCAAAAAACGATGGAAAATCACCAGTTTTCATGGGAAAACTAGATATAAATGGTGATTTTCCATAGATTTCCCATAGTTATGTTAAATTACCAGAGGGTATTTTCTGGTATATCATTGTGATTTCATGGTGATTATATGGAATTGACATGAACTAACCATGAATGATATAGTCCAAACATCTGGGATTATATGGAATTCACCATCATGGGTGATTTTCTGGTGGATGTATTAACCTACAAAGCCAACATTTCATGGGATTTCCTGGTGATTTCATAGGGACTTTTGGATCTTGGCGAATGGAGATTTCATCTTCTCCCTGACGAATGGAGATGTCATGCGAATTTCATGGTGATTCTGTGGGATTAAGAATCAAAAAAAGTCCAAACATATCGGATTTAATGGGATTTCATAGTGATTTCATCGTGATTTCATGGTATCAAAAAAGGTCAGCATATGATTTAGTGACGATGATATGGAATTAACCAGGTTAAAGTGATTAATGGCGATTGAGCGGTGATTATTTAATGTGTATTATGTAATCACCACTATCATATTTGTTTTATTGGGATTTAGTCCAAATATATGGGATTTCATGGGATGTAAGAGGATCGATGTTTACTAGTGATTTTATGGGTCTACTCTTGTCTTTTTGGAGGAAACAGATGGATTTTTCACAACCATCAAAATGTCAAACACGTGGGGATTTCATGGGATTTACCCCCCAAAAACCACCCACCTTGGAGGATTTCATTGGGGATTCTATGAATATTCAATCTTACTTCGGGCTCTGGCCGTAAGTTGGGGAAAGCAACGCAAAGACCCCAAGCATTTAGGGATGGCTACAGCACACCTGTGTCTCCCCCCAAAAATATATAAACCCATGTATGGCCGTTTTCGTGGGGAAAATGATGATCGTTTTACCATGTTAAATGGGATTTTCGTGGTATTTCCCAACATTTTCAGATACGCCATAGGATTTTGGTGGTATTTCCCAGCATTTACCAAGAATTTCAGAGAACAGCCCTCCCGGAAAGCCCATGGCCATACCTTTGAGCGGCGAATGGTCAGGCGGTTGGTCAGAATGGCCTGGCCCTCCAACATGCCAGCGAAGAGCTGCAAACGGATGCGGAGTTGCTGAAAGAGGCCGGAAGTTGTGGAGAAACTTTAGATGATTTCGCCACGATGACAGGATATAGTGGGACATAATACAGTAGTGGGACATAATTAATGGGATATAGTGGGATAGAATGCTGGGATAGAATGCTTGGATAGAATGCTGGGATATGATAGTAGGATATAATTGATGGGATATCATAGGATACAATGGGATATATAGCCAGTCCGATCCCCCTAATATCAAACACAGCCATTGTATGGTCACTGGTCCCAATGGAATGTGGGTATTTTCCTGCTAAACCATGGTTTCTTGTGTTTAATAATAGGGGGATGGTATTAAATTATATAATATATTATAATATTATATACTGATATAGCTTCTTGGGCGTTTCCAATCATAAACCGACCATTTGGGGATGATACTTACAACCCATCTATGGTGATACTTGGGATGAATTATAATGGATTCACCACATTACTCCTGAGAAAATCAGGCAAACTTGAGGAAGTTCGATAAACACCACCATTGGATGGGTGTGGCTCAAAATGCAAGGCACCAAGAATGGCCGAGCGCCTTAGTATCCAGTACGATTAACCTCTGGTAATCAAACACGACCATGGAACTTCATAGCATGTTTGGCACTGGAATCAGCTTGTGCACTATTTGCATCCGCTAAACACACCAGACATATTCCCAAATGGTCCCCTACATCCACTATGGTTTCTGAGGCGTGTTTCGTGTGAACGGGGGATGGGAATATCAGAATATCAAAAACTTCATGAGACTTCTGAATCTGAGTTTCATATATGTTTCATATATGTTTCATATATGTTCATCATTTCCCATCTCAATCCAGACAATTCCCCTATTCCCTCGATTCACCCACCCCCAATGACCATAGCCAGCACTTACATCCCGTCGCCAGGCCCGACGGGATGTTGCTTCCTTAACCGTCCGGTGCATGGTTTTTGCCTTTTTTGGGTGGTGAATGTTTGTATTTTGGAGGTTTTGGCCAGTGATAGATTCTAGATGTTCTATTTCCAACAAAAAATTGATTCTGCTGTAGCTTCTATTTCTTGCGGTGACAGCTTGAGGGAAATCACCAGAATTTGTTTTAGGGCTGGGAGGTTCCAGTAGGTGCAGACGGTGCGAGTTTCTCCTAAGTGTCTATCGCTACATGCTGAGGTGACTCAAACTTCTGCTGCCCAGAACAGGCAGGTTATTTGGATGGAGCTAGAACCATTCTTTCCCTTCTGATCGGATGTTGAAAAAATTCTGTTGAATTTTGGAGTGAATTGCATGTTCAATGTGTTTCGTTAACTGTCAAAGACATGTTCGAGGCAGGATTATTAGTATTATTGTTTTGTGCCAGTTTCCCATGACGGATCCATGGTGCTGCTATATATATATTTATCTATATATGGTAACATGGATCCCATCAATATCCCCCAGTCATGTTAGCATATATACTATATACCAGCACCATGGATCCGTCATGGGTGTGTGAATCCCCAAATCCCCATGGACCTGCAGCATTTCTGATCAACCCACTATTGTTCAATGGCTAATCATTGTGCTCAATGACAATATTGTTAAGACACATATTAATAAGCATTGATGTGACTTAACAACGATATGATATAAGCATTGCTTACTCATATTGATAACATTTAATAAGCATATCAATAATACAAATAGGCATGTATTAGTATTTCATTCGCAACCATGTATTAATATTAAGCCTTGATGAAACCTGATTCTTGGGAATCCCATGCGGGCGAAAGTCACCTGTTTCAATTCAGGGGTGACATTTTCAGCCGCGGCGGCCTGGTATCACCTCGTCCCTTACGACATGGGTATCTTGGTGGAACACGGTATGGGTATCTTGGGGGACTGATTCACCATGATGAAAACAATTTTGCTATGGGTCAAAAGCCTCGTACTCAGCCTCGTACTCTTCGCTGGTATTCACCAAAAATTTTACAGTTTTACATGGCCAACGTATCATGTTTTGAGCCCCATTTTTTGCATTTTTCTTAATCCTGATCCATCCGCATTTGGTAATAGAACATCACCATATGGTTCAATCACCGATTTATAATGGCTAAGATGAATTACCATAGAGTTATAATAACTATAGATTTGTTATGGCTATAGATTTATTATGGCTATTAAATTACCAGGTTGTAAGTCCATAGAGTTTCAGAGAATTTATTCAGCGCAGAAACGGTGTCGGACAGTGGTCGCGCCTTCCAGGTATCCTGTGGCCCTGTCTTCCACTGGCTTCCACATGACCATGGCAGATTGTTGAACGTTGTTGAACGCAGATTGCTTCCACTTGGCATGCTCTTGGTCACTCTGCTGAGTTAGAAACCGATTCTTCCAGTGGCATTGGATCTATTGACATCTATTGAACTTCCGTCCGAAAGGACTTGGCAACCCAGTTCTGCCGCGCGAAAGATGCGCCTTTCCCTCGTGTGTTGGACCAACGGCACCTGAGGGACGAATTTGACTTCAGGGCTATGACCTCAGGAAGTCTTGCGACTCTCGCCATCTCCGATTGACGACAGAAACATCTATTGAGTGCAACATATCTCAGTAATTCTCAGAGACTGAAGAGTCAACAAAACACATTTCTCAATACTCAAGTCCCGATTTTTTGGGACACTGAAGCTACTGAAGCTATGAAGTTCCGCAAAGATTTCCGAGAGGTCCGTTGTGTAATCGTTCGATGAACTTGTGGAATTCAGCTCCAAGCTGCAGGCAGCGTCTTTCCAAAGGAAGACTTGCCAGCTCTAAGATGATGGGGAAAGATGAGTACTAAATGCTGCACTGTCATTTGAATCTGGTAAATCATTTATCACTACTTATCATCTATAATGTCTATAATCCTCTCCTCCTTGTCTGTAATTAATATATACTTGATGGTCGCTGTGAGCGGTTTATTCTTCCTTGGCGTTGTTGCCATTTGCCAAGTACTCTCAATTTCCTTGCCCATCATCCCGATGTCCAGTCCAAGTCTTATGGACGCAAAAAACCGTCGTGACTGCTGTGGGGGCACAGGCTCTCATTGGCTGATGTACCAAGCCCCTTGATCTGGCAAAGGATTATTTTAATTCATTGTACACATTTCTACACTTGAAAGAAATCCTGCACGGCTTTCGGGTCATGAGAAAAAAACACGAAACCGACACTGGATCTCTACAGTCGATGTTCCTCGACATTGTGGTGCAGGATTTCGGAAGCATCGAATCAACCGTTGCGAATCAAGTTGACCACTGACATTGGTCCACTCACCTGCCGAAAAAGGTTCTGGGGCAGAGCCGTGGAGATACAGCAAGCAAAGAAGTCAGATATCATATAAATAAAGATACAATTATATAATGAATATTAATGACATAAGTTAACCCAAATTTCCATGGTTCAAATCAATTGATGCCATTTCTTGGATCATTCAGTGCCACACCTGACAAATATTGTGGGTCCATCCCAGTCAAAGTACCCTTTGTTTGAGCAATTTTTGACGCAGGGGCCGATTTGGTTGAGATTGGTTTGCAGTTTTGGCAATGTTGATATCATGCCATCCCTTTGAAGAGAACATCCTAGTCACTCGGAGGTTGAGGAGTTGGTGGTTTCCACATCAGAAGGGTCTATGAACCAAGGAAACTGCAGGGTACAGCGAGGGGTAAGCACAACCTATGTGCGGAATACACCCTCACGGTCATTTGCCACCATCCATATCCGAGATGTGCAGCTGGAGTTCTACAACATGGTTATATAACCCATATATAACCCATATATAACCCACTTAGTAATGGAACTGCACCCGTATCCGAGATGTATTCACGCCTTGTCAGTTCCAGCATCTGAAGAGATGGTGCAGGTGAAGCAGACAAGTCGAAGAGGTTGTACCAACGATTCTTGCTTTAATTTTGCATGTTCAAGAGTCACAAGACACAAAGAAAAAGATGAAAAAAATGATTGTCACAAGTAGCGGAATTAAAATGAATTAAACGGATTCACGATGATTCACAGGTTCCCGCTTTCACCAACGCGCAGAAAGTTGTTTCACCAACGAAGTTACTAAGTAAACTTCGCCATGGAACGTCGTGGAGTGAAGTATGTCGCTCTGGCTTGTGGTGCCTCATTGGGCTGGGATACACTGGGATAAGCGCAGCATGGTGCAGTTCTAACTTGGCAATGTGGCAAAATGCATAACTTACATTCGTTTATATCATCCATAATGAAACATGTAAATACACAGTTATATAAACATATTCTAGATTCTAGATGGTTTCCCCTGTTGTATTTTCTTCACTGCCATTCTTGATAGTCATAGAAGGTATGCCAAAAAAAATGTGGTTTTTGATGTCGCCAGGCAAACTTTCATGAAGAACCTCCGGCCTTGCGACCTCCAAAAGTTCCCATGAAGGAGCGGTGAGGATGTGGCCATGATGTGACCAATGGACCAATGGCAATCTGTGAGGATAATTTGTTGCACTCAGATGACATTTTCACGAAAGGTAGCGTCAGCTACCTGAGTTCTCCGTGCTTCAGCACAAGCTTAGGGGGTATTGGGGGGCCAGCCCACGGAATTCATGGAATTCTCGCCGTTATGTATTGGATATCAATTATAAGGGGGGGGGCCCCCCCCCCCGAAAATGGTCATGGGTTCAATTCCCACGGGTGACGCGGTCACGGGCCCCCACATTAGAGGCACACTTTCCATGAGGGAGATGTCCCTGCAGTCCAGCATAATTGGTATGCTTCAGCCTCAATAACAGTTGCTGCAAGGGGTCTTAAAAGGGGTTTTAAATAAACCCCTTTTCGTGCATCATTTCACGCTGCACAAGACACCGTATCATGCAGTCATGCTCTGGATAAAATCATCTTAGACTGCGCAAAAACGTTTTTGGTGTATCATCTTAGGGGCGCAGCATTTTGACACCACTCCTCTCCCACTACACTACCTTTCGTCCGCCTCCGCCTGCTCTCAAGTTCACGAAGTACATTGAATTACTGTATCACATGAATGATAATGATAATAGAACATTCCTTATTTATAGAAGACGTTTCCAGCTTTACACCTCCATTTTGTTCGGGGATTTCCCAGTTTGATATGTTTGATGACACATCTATTCATCAAGACATTTGAACTCGTAATCCTTGAAGATTTCTGCGGCACTGCGCTGCTCAGGACCTAATGTTGGCTTTGGTACTTTTCGTGGCCAGATCCTTAGGGGTTTCAAGTTTCAACCTGAGAGAAATCTGGGTTGATATCGGGATCTGAATCCATAACCTGAAACTCATGGGAATATCATGATTGGGGTTCAACTTTCCATGCTTTCATGGGGATATAATATATATATATATATTATATATGAAATTATTAATATATATATATATGTATATAATACATGTAAGATCATATGAAGGTCAGTTCAATGGGGATTTTTGATGGGGATATAACGAGATCATCATCCCTGGTCGAGGTTGGAACCGTTTGCCTACTCTGCGGTGCCAATGTCTTCTTCAAGACATGGGGGAGTTCTGAGGGACGAGTTGAGTTTTGTCAGCGGGAAGAAGTGCCTGTGCCACTCACTTGATCTAAAGATCGGGTTGTCTGAAGATTTGGAACTGCAAAATAGCAGAAATAGCAGCTAGCATGTATATATATATATATAGTTGCTGATATCATTTATCATTATTAATCATAATTTTCCATCTTCATAATTATGTTCCTTCTTGTATTTGTATAATCTTACATACAACTTGCCGTTTTGGAGTTTCTTATGCCAAACCAAGATTAGAGGGTTTCCACACATGGGGATACCCCGAAATCATCCATTTTTCAATGTCTCCTTTTTTATTCCATCATTCTTATCATTCATAAATTGTGTTTTTTCCATTTCTGGATGGTATGAATTATGCTTTATGGAGGTTTCAACATGTTTAAACCATCCATTTCCCATGTATTTCCCCATGGTATTTCTCAGCTCTCATGGACCTCCCAGCATTGAAACATCGACAGGACATCGCTTTGGGAGTCGCTGCCCTTGAACATCCTGGGTGGATTGTGCTTTATACCTGGAGCGTATCACAGTTTCATCTTCCTCATGGTCTTGAAGAAGGTGCCCTTGTGGACCTGGCGGAATCTGGCCTCTGGCGGGGAAACAGCCAATTGTGGTAAAGCCAATTGTTGTTGATATATATATACATATATATATTAAAAGGATACAATTTGGTTTATACAAAACATTAAGAAAATACAAGGGTCTTGATTTAGAGTAGGGGGTGTGGTTTATACCAGCTATAAACATGGTGGTTTCGGGGATGGTGGCATTGGGTTTACCCATCAATCCAAACTTCAATCCTCATCCGACCTTGCAAAGCTTCAGCCACTTCAGCCACTGATCCCGAGGTGCCTGGCTACTCTTACGACATGTCGGCCTGCCATGTTTTGAACAACTCTGTGAAGTATGGAGGTTGAACAGTTGAACAACGCAAATGGCCCAGCAAATTAGTGTAGTAAATCCATGTTTTTCAGGTATAAGTAAACATGCTTCACCATAGTTATAGAGGCCCCAGATCCCCACTTATGGATATTCATGGGAATTTTAATGCCCGTGATTATAATATCTATAAAAATGGTCATGGAATAAATATAATTTATAATATCGGAAAAAAACATAATACTATATACTATATATATATATATATTTCAATTCCATCGATTTTCCAAATATTATATCCTCCCAAAAACAGGATCATTACCTATCAACAATAACGACACCAAAACATATATATTCAAAGAATTAAACTAAAATCTCAAAGATATGGATCAAAATTAGAAATTATTTTTATAAAAAAAATGGATATAACAAAAGATATATTATATATTATAGAATTATTCTTATTATCATTAGATATTTTATCTATTATAATATATTAAATTAATTTAACTAATATTAAATTATATGTTAATTAGTTTTATTTTAATATTATCTATATATTATTTATTATTTTTTTAAATAAATTAATATATATGATTCATATATATATATATATCTTAGCGTTGGGTGGTCTTTATATGTTCTCCTTTCTATCCCCCGAGATGGAATTGATATTTATATATGCCATGAAATGAATGATATTGCTTTTCGGTAATGGGATAAGAAAAATTACGAACATTGAAAATTTTAAAAATCGTTATATATACATATAAATATATATATATAT